GCCTGTTTAGAATAAACTTCTTCATTAATCTTTTATTTTCAAAGCCTCTCACACAAATTTAAGGCCTACTTCATCCTTAATCCCCTCAATCAGATTATAAAATTTAACCTTATATTCGTATTGTAACACAACAAATTTTGGACAAAGTACTTATGGTTTCATATTTTTTATTTAGATTTACGTTTATATATGAATGCAGACCTAACAGTCGTGCCCACATTTATTTCCTATACTTTTGATTTTCTCTTTGCCGATTATGATCCCTTAAATTAGATACTGATTTTATTGACTTTCGAGGAAGCATGATATATCCATTTGTCCTTAGTTTCAGTAAAAATTAATATTTTGGCCTTTTAAGGTCTACTAAATTTGTCTTCATTCATCAGTTTACGGATAAAAAAATAATATAATGTGATTACACCTATTGGTACAATGCTCCTTTTTTTTAATCCAATCACGGTTCATGCCTCACTTTAATCCTCTTTAGACATTTTATTGCTTCCATTTCTACTTCAGGTTGACTATCTTACTGGTTCCTGGTGGCCAGACCTAGAAGAACTTTTTAATGAAGATATTCCTGTCTACAGGTTTGTTCAGCGACCTGGTGATCTGGTTTGGATAAATGCAGGCACTGTACACTGGGTTCAAGCTATCGGTTGGTGCAATAACATTGCGTGGAATGTTGGTCCCCTCAATGCAAGACAATATCAATTGGCGATCGAACGCTATGAGTTCAATCGGCTGCACGGAGTTAAATCTATTGTGCCAATGATTCACCTGAGTTGGCAGCTGGCAAAGAATGTCAAAGTCTCAGAACCACATTTATACGAGTTAATAAAGTAAGCAGAATATCTTTTTTGTTTATAAAGTTGCTATTTCTCTTTGAATCTAACTTAGATACTACTTATTTCGCTATTTAGGTTGAAAGATGACTTATGAGATTTTCACAGGTTGCTATTTTACGTATTTTTGATTATTTGGTTCTCTCCAAAGGTGGTTTCAATCAATCAACTGGTATGTTTCACTAACGAAAGGATTTCACTCTTCTGTGTTAAGTAGTACATTGTATCGATGTTAATATTGTTTGTGACACCACCTTTCAGAAGTTTTCATTCGATTTTAGCTTTCCTCAAAAGCTAGATAATACTGTAAACTTGTCTTTATTCACATATCTACAATCAAGAATAAACGGGATTTATTCTAGTACGATTTACTTTATTTCATTCTATACATTTTTGGACTTGCAAATATCCTTATGCAAGTTTATATTTTGTAAATTCTAAGTCATAAACAACTCCCAGGTTCAGGTAATGATATGCGATTGTGGATTGAGGCGTATTTTTTACATGTTAAAGGGTTGTTTCAGGAATGGTTATGGTAGAGTTGGAAGTTTTTGCTTCCTTATTACTCTGACTTCGTTACTTCAGTCATGCATTTTTCTTCGTTTCACTCATTTAATTTGACCCACAGTATATACTTAATGTTGATAGACCTAAATGTACTTTTGAATTGGGTTAGAATAACTTTCAACCAGAGAACTCACGATGCTATTGTAGAAAGACATTTAAGAAATTATTAATTTTTATTTTCTTGGGTTAGGGTCCTTTTTATTCATCTTGATTAAATCATTACCCAACTCAGCTTTTGTGGAAGATATGAATACCGATATGGTGTGGCCTTTGGTAAGGTTGCAGTCTCCTTTCGATGTATAGAAGCGGTCTGATCTCATTTGCACAATTTAGTCGTGTTGTCAGGGCGACTTGGGCGCACCTTATCCGAAGTCCTCTGCTTTAACGATTATCGTACTTTCCAGCGTCGGACCATGGACGTCTCGCCGAGATAGCGAGCCCTGCCGTTCTTAGCACCAAGCTACAGCTCGTCGAAGATAAAAATGAGGCAAGGCTCACTAAGAAGCCAGCGAAACTTCTGGTAATGTATCCAGTCCATGGTCTGACTATTATAGCAGAGAACTTCGGACAAGGTGCGTTCAACAAAGTCACTTTTACAACA